GTGGCGCTGTAGCTCAAGTGGTAGAGCGCTCACCTTGAACTGAAGAGCTGAGGGACAGCGCCCAGGCCCAGAGTTCAAGCCCCACGACCGACCAAAAAAAAAAAAAGACTCATTCCCCACAGTGGGAAATTGAAAGTGGTGACATGTGCCTATTATTCCAGCAACTGCAAGAAGCCTAAAATAGGTGGCAGTGCACCTGTGTAGCAAACACCAGATCCTTGGTTCAAATTGTAATACCCCTTCCTCCTTCACTGAAGAGAGAAAAGTCACTTGTGATGAGAGCTGTTCAGTGATGAGAGGGTTGCTATGCGGAAGGCTTGGCAGGGAACAGCAAGTGCTGAAGCCCTTACATGCACCTGTGAGCAGCAGGGCAGCCAGGAAGGGGGACCCTCATAAGTAGAGATGCATGGGAAGAGGACACAGGATGAAGCCAGAGCAGCCCCAGAGACAGGCCACAGGGGACTGGTGGGCTCTGCAGGACCTTTGCTTCACCTGGACTAAAACAAAAAGCCACCTAAGGGTTTGGGGCAGTAAAGTGATGTTAGCTGACTTTGCTTTCTGTGTACTCTCTGCCTGCTCTAGAGCTTTGAGGCCCTGAGGATAATAGGAAAGGAGTCAGGCACTGCTGGCTCACACTTGTAATCTTAGCTACTCAGGAGATCTGAGGATCACGGTTTGAAGCCAGACTGGGCAGGAAAGTATCTCCAGTTAACCAGCAGAAAACCAGAAATGGTGTTTTGCCTCAAAGCGGTAGAGTGCCAACCAAAAAATCAACGAAAAGAAAAGAATAAAGGGGGAAGGTCAGTCAGAAGGCTGCAGTCATCAGCAGAGAAAGAGAAGTTCTTAGTGACCAGACAGGGGAGAATGGTTAGATTCCAGAACTATTAGATGAAGTTAGAACAGAAAGGGCCTCCTGCTGGATGTGAGTGGGAGTGGAAGGGTTAAGGAGCTCTAAGTTTGGCCAGGCATTTAAGGAATGGCACTGAAGGTCGACATCAAGGGACATTCAAGTGTATAGCTTCAGTCAGGTTTGAGCTGCCTGTTGGCTCTGGGTGGAGACTAGGAGTGGTACCAGGTAGATGGGGGCCCTCTACTGGCTGAGATCAACTTTGGAGCTGAGGCAGATGAAGAAAGGCTCAGAGATTGGAGATGGAGGCTGGTGGCCGGACCAGTGTTTCATAGGGTACAATGAATGAACAGGCCCAAGAGGAGAGTCAGGAGAGAATGCAGCCTAAAAGCCACCAACGTCAGCCTCAGGGAGAAGAGAGGGATAATGGTCTGGGCTGTTGCCCACAAGAATGAGGGAACATGAATGTGATCAAGCTAACAAGGGCCACTCTACGGTGGAGCTGTTCTGGGGGCGGGGATGGGGAGACAAGCTTGAGAGAGCATGGGTGGCTAAAAGCAGATATGTGGATATTCTTATTATTTGGTCTGTGAGTATGCCTGTGAGACAGCTGCAATAGCAAGTGAGTGGCAGTGAAGATGCTACTAGTACTGCCATACAAGTCGCCAGCAGGCCAGGGTGGTCTCGGGCCACATCAAGTCAGCAGTGTGGTTCCTCTGACCTCTGCGTCCTCTGTACAAATAAGTGGGGTCAGAGAGTGCAGGAGGTATTACCTAGGGTTGGAAAGGAGAACACCTTTGGGTGCTGTACAAACATTGAATATTAAAGAGAGGAAAAAAAATAGTCCCACAATTCTCACTGTGCATTTCATTGACTAGATGAAGGGGCAGTTGTAATGGGCCCCACATCGTGATGTGGATGGAGGTTCTGCATGGAATTGAGTCCACCTGTGCATTTTGCTCACAGGGTTGAGTCTTACCGCCTTTTTGTTGGTGGTGGTGGTCCTGGGGCTTGAACTCTGGGCCTGGGCGTTGTCCCTCAGTTCTTCAGCTCAAGGCAAGTGCTCTACTACTTGAGCCACAGTGCCACTTCCGGTTTTCTGGTGGTTATTTGGAGGTAAGAGTCTCAGGGACTTTCCTGCCCAGGCTGGCTTTGAACCTCCATCGTCAGATCTCAGCCTCCTGAGTAACTAAGATGACAGGCATGAGCCACTAGTGCCCCAGCCTTAACTTTATTTACTGCTTCATGTTGAGATGGTTGAAGCAGTGTCTGTTCATCCTCTCAACAGCAATATTTCTGCAGTTGATAGTAAAAAAAAAAAAAAATAGTAAAGAATGCAGTATTCTTTAAACACAACTTTATCCCAAGTTGTTTTCTGAGCATTTTGAATGTATTACCTCCTGTAATAAGAATTGTTGCCTTAATATATATTAGAAACCTGGAAACAGAGGCACAGAGCGGTTAGGAAATTGGTTAAGGATATACAGCTTGTAATTGGTGGAGGTAGATTTGAACCAATTAAGTATGAGTCCAGTAACTGCTGCTGTAACTACTACATAATCTTTTCCTTGGCATTACAACAAATGAGGAAGACTTTAATTGAGCCAGAATCCTCCAGAAGACAACTCTTTGATATTGTGATTCTCATGCGCACACCTCTGCCAGATCTTGTCTTGTTTTCCAGTCTTCCTCCTATAAAGGTTTTTTGTTTTTTGTTTTTATAATCTAATACTACTCAGACTTCTGACCTAGCCCTAGACCCTCTTAGTGCTGTGGCTTTCTCTGTTGCCAGTGCTATCTAAGCCAGCTGTTTCCCTCCAGGCAGCCATCTGCTTAGTTTCCAGGTGTGTCACACATGCTAGTCCACAGTTCTGACCCCCCTCTCTTGTCATGCAGCTACTTTGGACTGTTTTATCTCCTTCCTGCTCTGGTCAGCATTTGAGCCACCCCTAATGACTAGCTGTGGCTAAGGTCTCAGGATGCCTGACAAGGAAGGGACTGTGGGATTCTTGGAGTCTTCACTGAGACTGTTGACAGAGAGCTAGTTTGTGGTAACAGGAGGAGTAGAGTATAAAGGCTGGATCTGTTGGCTCTTTATCAGTGAATGGTCATTGGCAGTTGGGAGTAGTTGAGGGGCTGCAGGTATTTCTAAAGCTGTGGGATCCCTAAAAGACCAGAGAACAGATGCTGCCCTGTCTTTGTATGTCTTAGAGTGAGATCACAGTGGTTTCGTGTCTTTACTAATCCCTGGAAGATCCAGGAGGCTGGCTTGGAAAGCACAGCGCTAGTGACCTGATCTCCCCCCTTCAGGATATTAAGAGTATATGCCCTCATGATAGAATACAGACGGTACACTTGATAACTTCATCAAAACAACGTAGTCATATCATTTGCAACCCATCTAAAAATAGCACTGACTGACCCAGGTATGTGCAACGTGCCTGAGTCATTTCTAGATGGGGTGTGTAGTGCAACTTCCTGGAACCCAGCAGCCTTTATATGTGGGGAGCAGGCTGCTGATGGCCATGTCCTCACAGCTTTTACCCTGATCTTTGCCCTCCTTGAGAACTGGGGAGGCCCCACCTCCTGCCGTGCAACGGCTCATGGTGTGCTCTAGTTTTATTGGGGGAAATGCATTCTTACTAAAATTTAATTCAAAGATCCTTTTTCTTTAACAAAGTAGAGCATTTATTTTAATTGAGAGATTGGACAGATTGGATTTTCCCCTATAGATGTTACTGTTTTCACAAAATTAATAAGAAACCTTCCTGATTTGTGTTTTACTTTGTGTAATTAATTTGCTGATGTAATATCCTGTTCTTCTAGGTATCCAAATATATCTTGTGAGTTGCTCACTTCTGATGTCTCCCAGATGAATGATAGACTGGGAGAAGATGAATCCTTGCTAATGAAATTATATAGCTTCCTCCTAAATGACTCCCCCTTGAACCCACTACTTGCCAGTTTCTTCAGCAAGGTGCTAAGTATTCTTATCAGCAGAAAACCAGAACAGGTAAATATGGTTTTCCAAAAGGTAAGTATTAGGGCCAGTTGTCCCCAAGGTGATTTCCAGTAATGTTGTCACTGTATTGTGCTCAGTTCATCCCATTGCTATAAAAAATGTATTTTAAGTTTTAAACATTCTATGCACTGACTGAACACTGATTTATACCTTAGTGACATATTCTTTTAATAGCCTTAGAAGCTCACTTAATTTGTTAGCACACTTTGGTCTTTTTCTCTTGACAAGTGATTGGAAGCATGAGACTTGTTGAGGACCTGTGTGTATACCTCAGTGGTTGAATATGTGGGAGGGGGGTCCCAGGACTGTGGGTGTTGCTATAGCTGCTTTGCTGGGTTTCCCCCAGTGCTTTTTCCCAAATGTAATTGATGATTGCTTTGTCTACTCAAATATTTTACTACTGTAGCTCTGTAGTTCCTGCTCAGCAGTGCTAAACAGAAATTCGTATCTCAGTGTTCTGGCACTAACCCCCCCCCCCCCCCCCATTTCTGGCTTTTTGCTCCAAACACCATGTATAGGCGGCTGTTTCCCAAGCATCTCTCTCATTTGTGTAGTTCCCCAAGGTGTCCCTGGACCAGGTCACCTGGGAATTTGTTAGCATCGTAAGTTCTTAGTCCTTAGAATCAGAAACTCTAATGCATAATAAGATTGAGAGCCGCTGTTGTTTCTAGTGGTATCTGGTGGTGGGAAGAATTTGAGATTATGATCCATTTATGAAAACAGTACAGAGTAGAGCCTCAAATGCTCAAGTACAAACTGTGATGGACTCTTCAAAAGTGGAACAAGCATGGTACCAGTGAAAGTGGTCAGGCAAGTCAGACTGGCATTCTTCGTGTTGGAAAGCACTTTCCAGCGACTCAGCCTTGCTGTCAGCTCACATGAAGGGACTGGAACTATTTTGGGCTCAGTATGTTCTGTCCTATGGCAAGGTGAAGTGGGTACATGTTTTATTTTAGAAAGATGATATTGTTCTTTGGACCTCATAATTTAAAAAAAAATGTAGGATAACTTTTCTAAGTGTATTGGGGAAAAGATTCCTTTCTTTTATGTAATAATCTTAAATCATGGTAACTGCAACACAGATTGTTTCTCATTTAAGTACTGCTGGCTAATTTAGGAGAGTGCAAGCCTTGGTGCTCCCCAGTCAGTTCTCAGATGTGATAGATGCTGTGTTTCAGCGTAGTTTTCCTCCTCAGTTCTGTGCTATTAGATCCAAACCTACAGGCCATGATTTTCAGTTGCATCTGATGCAATGGGAGAGTGTATGTGCGTAAGACTTTCTGGACTGTGTTTTTGTTAGGCTTTGAACTTGATGTTTTATGTGTGGCTGTTCATATGACAGTTGAACACTAGGAGAAAGTCCTGTCACTCTGTTAACTCCTCACTCTTCTTCATCCAGGATGTTCTAGAGAATAGATTTCTCTTAGTTCAGAGCAGGGTAAAACTTGACACCTCTCTGTCTTTTGAGAATTATGAGGGTTTCATGTCGCACGAGAATATGAAATACAGACAATGACCAAAAGTTGAGACTTGAGTGACTTTACTACTAAAGATAGTTTTTTGGGGGGGGGCAGGGGGGTCCGGTTCTGGGGCCTGAACTCTGGACCTGGGCACTGTCCCTCAGCTCTTCAGCTCAAGGCTAGCGCTCTACCACCTGAGCCACAGCACCACTTCTGGCTTTTTTCTTTTTTCTTTATGTGGTGCTGAGGAATCGAACCCAGGGCCTCATGCATGCAAGGCAAGCGCTCTACCACTGAGCCACCTTCCCAACCCCCTAAAGATAGTTTTTAACTTAGAGAGCAGGGCATCCAGCTGCCAGGCAGGGTTGTCTGGTACCAGCTTGGTCCCCTATTACACACAGCATTGCTGAGGTTTGAGTTTGTAGGTTCAAGATCCATTGTTTGTGCCAATAAGTTGTGGAGTGTTCTAGTCACATGGACCTTTTCCTCCTCTTTTATTATCCTTTCAGAAATTATGGGATTCTGTTGTGAGTGGAATAACAATACCATTTCTCAAAGGTTTAATGTCAAAATATTTAGCCTTATGATCCAGGAAACAGTGTGTGATGATGGTTAGTCCTGTAATTGTATCTAATTATGTGGAGCCGTTCTGGTTTCCTGGCCGTTAGACATCTTCGTGCAGGTTGATAGACCACCTCTGGCTTTTGCTGCAGCTAGCTCTGAGTTAAAATCCTGGAGTTAGCCATTCTTTAACTTACCTGAGCCTCGGTTTCGGGTCTGTAACATTGGATTATTCAGCCCTCCCTGCTAGGATGTGACAAGGTGCTGTGGCGGCAGCTGCTACAATAACCCTGTTGTTCTCAGGATACACAGTGGGTTTTGATCGATCATGGGCTCACACAAGCAGAAATCAGGAAAGGCACACAACATTGTAGCCACAAAGGTCAGAGTCCTCCTGCAGCTCTTCCTGCCAGTGTGAGGTGATCGCTGGAACAAAAGCCAACTCACCTCCGTGTATGTAGCAGGTGACTTCATTACTTAGAAGTAGAAATTTTTATGTTTTGCATTTTTTCTTTTTTTTCTTTTTTTTTTGTCGGTCGTGGGGCTTGAACTCTGGGCTTGGGCGCTGTCCCTCAGCTCTTCAGCTCAAGGCGAGCGCTCTACCACTTGAGCTACAGCGCCACTTCCGGTTTTCTGGTGGTTTATTGGAGATAGGAGTCTCACGGTCCCTCCTGCCCGGGCTGGCTTTGAACCGCGATCCTCAGATCTCAGCCTCCTGAGTAGCTAGGATTACAGGCGTGAGCCACCAGCGCCCGGCTGCATTTTTTCTTTTATTTACTTAGAGTATAATTAGGATTTTAAGTATTCTGCATTTTAGTGTTAAGTCTAGCAGAAGTATTTTATGTTTGTAAACTATAAGATAGTATATTCTCTTTGTATATGTATGTGTTAAATCCTTGATTCCCATACTTTAAAGTAACAACAAGCCAGACACCAGTGGCTCACCCATAGCCTATCATCCTAGCTACTCCAGAGGCTGAGATCTGAGGATCGCAGTTCAAAGCCAGCCCAGGCAGAAAAGTCCCTGTGAGACTCTTACTTCCAGTTAACCACTCAAAAACCTGAAGTGGTACTGTGTCTCAAATGGTAGAGCACTAGCCTTGAGCACAAAGAGAGGCTCAGGGACAGTGCTTAGGCCCTGAATTCCAGCCCCAAAGCAGACAAAAAAGAATTGGCAACAAAAATGTGTAGAAAGAAAAGACAATATTTTTTAAATACTTTTTTTATTGTAAAAATACTGTACAGAGGGGTTACAGTTACATGAGTAAGGTAATGAGTACATTTCCTATCAAGCATTGTTACCTCTTCCTTTGTCTTTCCCCTACCATCCTTTCCTTCCCACCTCCACAACTACACTCTCCAAGCTCCCCCCCGCCCCCCCAAGACTCAATATTTTCATGTTATGTGGTGTGTGCTAATTTGGGAGGGTTTTTTTTTTTTTTTGCTAAGTGGTTTTTGAGCAGGGAGCTTTTAGCTAGACTTTCAGGTTTCACATCTGATTACCAGCTCAGCTCTTGGCTTTTGATCAACCTAAAGTAGGGACAGGATTTTGGAATGGATGGTAGTCAGGATTTAAAGCATTCAAAAGTTTGTAATTCCCATGTTACATGTCATTCAGTTTGTATTTGTTCTCCTCTAGATTGTGGATTTCTTAAAGAAGAAACGTGATTTTGTAGACCTTATTATAAAGCACATAGGAACGTCTGCTATCATGGATTTGTTGCTCAGACTCCTGACATGTATTGAGCCTCCACAACCCAGGCAAGAAGTGCTGAATGTAAGTAGAAATCTGACCTGTTGACTGGGGTTGGAGGTGACAAAGCTGCTGTGTGCTGGGGACCATGTGGGATTATGGTTGGTTCCAGGGAGTTGTCTGGGGCACTTGGAGATAGGGTGAGAGCTTCTCCAATGCAGGAAAAGATCCAGTTTTGTAGGACTGCCTACAGCATGTTGAGAATGGTTCTTTGTCCTATGCAGGTTGGTTTTTGTGGGGTGGCAAGATAGATTGGATTGAGCGGGGTCTACGACATGAGAATGGAAGGTTGGAATCTCTAAGTCTTCATCTGCATGTACATACCTCTGAATGTCGAAACAGAGTTGTACCTACAGGAGTGTAAGGACAATGGGAGTTTGTGGGAAAAGGCAGAGTTTAAAATTTAGGCAGATGGTAATTTCAGAATTGATACAGTGAGGATGGGGGCAAGGAACCTGTTTTTTTCCTGGGTTGTCATTGATGTCTTCCCTTCTTTTCTTCTCCACCCTCCTCTGTCTTCTGAAACCATTCCCTAGTCCATTTTATCTCTAATACTAACCCTAGACCTTAAAACTTCCTTAGTTTGGTGCTGGGAGTGTGGCTTAGTAGAAGAGTGCTTACCTGGCATACATGAAGCCCTGGGTTTGGTTCCTCAGTACTGCATAAACAGAAAAAGCCAGAAGTGGCACAATGGCTCAAATGGTAGAGCTCTAGTCTTGAGAGCAAAAGAAGTTCAGGGGCAGTGCCCAGGCCCTGAGGTCAAGCCCCAGGACCCGCAAAACAAAACTTGCCTTAGTTGGATGTTGTGGTGTACACCTGTAATCCCAGAACTCTATAGACAGGCAGTAGAAAGTGAAGTAAGATTGTAGATCAAGGTCAGTCTAGGATACATAGCAATAGTTTGTCTCAGAAAAACAAGATAGATAAAACCTCAGTTCATTGAAAATGAGTTTTGTTGAATTTTTTTTTTTTGGGTCCGGTCGTGGGCCTGAACTCTGGGCCTGGGCACTGTCCCTCAGCTCTTCAGCTCAAGGCTAGTGCTCTACCACTTGAGCCACAGCGCCACTTCCGGCTTTTTTCTGCTTATGTGGTGCCGAGGAATCGAACCCAGGGCCTCATGCATGCAAGGCAAATGCTCTACCACTGAGCCACCTTCCCAGCCCAGTTTTGTTGAAAATTTTAATTTTAAAGACCCAAAGGACCAAAAGATACAGGAAAGAACTATGAGAGGAAGAGCTTTTGGTTATTGTATAGTGTACCAAGCACACTATAGAGGTGGGCAGGCGTGCATTTGTGGCATGGGATTAAGGCTGTCAAGATGACCCAGGCATTTCTGTGTGCCTGGCAGGTGTCCTGTGACTTACCTATGGCAGAACTAAATTGGGATACTAAGTTCCTTTTAGATGTCCGTGGATCTGGATCTTTGCTTACCAGAGGTTCAAGATTCTTGGAAAGACAAGAGGACAGAGGAGGAATGTCACTGTAATGATTGAGTTGGTGTAGGGGGAAGTTGGTTTATTTTTTTGGTCACTTCTGAGGTGAATTTTAGTGTCCATTTCCAAGTAAGTGTGCTTTGGAAGGGATGGGGGAGCAGAGAAGGAAGACTTGTAAAGGCACAAGTTGGAGGAAGGTTACTTGCAAATCTTTAGCAGTCTTACTTGATTTGAAGGCTAGTCCAGAACTGGGCTTGGAACATAGTACTTGTGAACACTGTGGGCAAGGCAGTTTCTTAGCTTCTCCCGTGGTATCAGGAGCTCCCTTATGCATGGGCATTTATCATCTTCTGCTCAAAGTGTGACCCCGTCATTTGCGGGTTTTTTAAAAACTTCTTTAAAGGACTTATTGAATCAAATTCCACATTTAAGAATTCTGGGGCTGGGAAGGTGGCTCAATGGTAGAGCGCTAGCCTTGAGCTGAAGAGCTGAGGGACAGTGCCCAGGCCCAGAGTTCAGGCCCCACGACCGGACCAAAAAAAAAAAAAGAACTCTGGGATATTTGAAAATATATAAAGTTGGGCCATTCCCTTTGTGGTATCTACTTGGTAATTTTTATTTGCACATTTTCCTTTTAATTATTTCCCTTAAAAAGGCAGACCACCTTGGGGGTTCTTCTCTATGCCTTTAGCAAGTTGATTTTCCCCTCCTCCTCCCCTCAATCTTCTTTGATGTTTGTTTTGTTTTGGAGGGGTACTTAATTTTGTTACTATTTTTTTTTTTTTTTTTTATGTTCGTGGGACTTGAACTCAAGGCCTGGGCGTTGTCCCTGAGCCTGTTTTTGCTCAAGGCTAGTACTCTACCCACTTGAGCCACAGCATCACTTCTGGCTTATTGAAGAGAAGAGTCTCACAAACTTTTCTGCCCAGGTTGGCTTCGAACCATGATCCTCAGATCTCAGCCTCCTGAGTAGCTAGGATTACAGATGTGAGCCACTGGCACCTGACTGTCACTTAATTTTTTAATACTATTTTATTATTATTAAGGTATTACACAAATGGATTACCATTTCTCATGACTCAGGTAATGAGTGCATTTCTTTTTTTGGACAATGTCACTATTCCTTCACTTTCCCCTCATCTCACCTTCCCTTCCCTGCCAATGATTTACATGGTTCATATTCCACATACTGAACAGCATGATTTTTTTTTTAATGGTTCAAACTCAGGGCCTCACACTTGTTAGGCTTGTGCTAACATATGAGCCATGCTTTCCAGCCTTTTTGCTGGAAGTAGCGTCTCAAGGACTTTTCTTTCCTTGTTCAAACCGCGATCCTCTAAATCTCATTCTCCTAAATAGAAGGGCATGATCCATAGGCATCATGCATGGGGTTGTACATTTTTGTTTCTATTTTAGTCAGCTATTTATGGGTTGAAAGTTCTTTGCAGAACTAATATTAAGGCAGCTGGGTTTTTCCTTATTATCTGTCTTTTTTGTCGGTCATAGGGCTTGACCCTCAGGGCCTGGGCACTGACCTTGAGAGTTTTTGCTCAAAGCTAGCACACTACTATTTTGAGCCACAGCGCCACTTACCATTTTGTGGTGATTCATTGGAGATAAGCGTCTCACAGACTTTCCTGCCTGAGCTGGATTTGAACTGTGATCCTCAGATCTCAGCCTCCTGAGTAGCTGGGATTACAGGAGTGAGCCACCGGTACCCAGCTTCCCTATCATGTTTTTATTCTCTCCTGTTTCAACAAAGGTTAAAAAAAGATTGCTGTGGTCATGACAGTAGCTCTTTTTTTTTTTTTTTTTTTTGGGTCCGGTCGTGGGGCCTGAACTCTGGGCCTGGGCGCTGTCCCTCAGCTCTTCAGCTCAAGGCTAGCGCTCTACCCCTTGAGCCACAGCGCCACTTCCGGCTTTTTTCTTTTTTCTTATGTGGTGCTGAGGAATCGAACCCAGGGCCTCGAGCATGCAAGGCAAGCGCTCTACCACTGAGCCACCTTCCCAGCCCCTACAGTAGCTCTTTATATAGTTGTAAAATCTAAGTGTCTTTTTTTGTTCATCCTGTGTTTGCTATACCTAGAGGGTTTGTTTTTCTGTGCCAGCCCTGGATCTTGAACTTAGGGCCTGAGCGCTGTCCCTGAGCTGTTTTGTGCAAGGCTGGTGCTCTACCACTTGAGCCTCAGGTCCACTTCAGGCTTTGTTTTGGTTGTTTATTGGAGCTAAGAGTCTGCAGAGGCTCGCTTTAAACCACAATCTTCAGATCTCAGCTTCCTGATTAACTAGGATTATAGGCGTGAGCCAGTGGTGCCAGGTCAGAGGCTTGATTCTTAAGTACAGCTCTTCATTCTTTTGAGCTCAGATGACATTCTCTTAGAGAAAAGGGGGGCCTTCTGCCTTCCTTACAGCCCCACCCCCGGAAGCCATAGTATAGACTCTTTCCAGGGCTGACTACCTGGGAGTTTCCTCATGGCTAAGGAACTGATAAGTAGAATTTTGGTATGTGGGCACTGGAATTTGGGGAGTTGTTGATTCTCTTAGTCACTGATAATATATTCATTGGTGTTTTCCTTGGGGGACTTTCAATTTTCTGTAGTGTTCAAAGTTCAGAGAAACCTGTAACATTCTACTTAAGTGTGATGGATATTTCCAAGTATGTTAATCTTCATTGGGGCTTGAACAAGAGCCATTCATTACTATGATTACTTCTACAATGTGTTTTACAGTGGTTAAATGAGGAGAAAATTATCCAGAGGCTTGTGGAAATAGTTCATCCATCGCAAGAAGAAGATGTAAGTTCTCTTGTATGATTCTAAGTTGGATTTTATTTTATTTTTTTGTTGTGAAAATACTGTACAGAGGGGTTACAATTACATGGGCAAGATAATGTGTACATTTCTTATCAAGCATTGTATCCTCCTCCTTTGTTTCTCCTTCCCATCCCTTCCCATCCTCCCCCCGCCCCCCTGGATTTTCTTTTAACTTTTTATTTGGGCACAGAACGTACCTGAACAGATATGGAGGTGCTAAGAGAAAACTACTGTTCTTCAGTTTGTAGTTTCTCAAACAATACTACATTTTCCTTATACCCAGATTTCTAGAAATGTGAGGTGGCAGGACAGCATTATCTCCTTCCCAGAGCCAGGATTTCACGCTGAGCCTACCTTTGTCACAGATCTCCTCTCTGCACAGTTGTATTTCTTTTATATGTATCTTTATTACATCTGCATAAGCTTTGTGGGCAGCACAACAGGCTCCTGGTCACCACAAAGCCCCTGTGGTGACTTAGCTGTTGTCCTTCTTGGTCCTCGCCTTTATGAATGGTGGTATTGAAGCTTGAGTTTATACATTGAGCCCTGTGCTGAGAGGCATTATTTGTCTCTCAGTCTATAGTTGTTACCACTTCAGGTATCAAGTCAAACCACTTGAGATTTCCAGTAGCTAACTATTATTGACAAATGTTGCCGCACTACATACTTAGGCCTCATGTCCATAAAGGAGTTGATTTAAGGGTGTCAGGGTGTGACTATTGTTGGGCTTAAGTGCCTCCCCTTATGCTTCTAGATTGCAGTTTAAACTGGATAGCAGGTACCAGGTTTGAGCAGGACAAGGAAGAGGATAACTAGCAATGTTCATTCTTCAAAAATGTTTTTTTTTTGTGGGGAGGATTTAACCCCTTCTACTCTGTCTACTCTTTTCAAAAACTTAGTGCCTAGAGTAAAATCTAAAGCCGATTTTTAAAGGAGGCCATCACTTGCTCCCTTTGAGACAGAGCAGGAAGTGTTCCCTTGTAACATCTGCTATTGTTGCCAGAGTTGGTGCTCTTCCTAGAACGTTTGTTTGCTGAGTGCTATGGGAGAAGCCTAGTCTAGAAGGAGCTCCCAAGCTTCTTGGATGCCTAGCCTTCTTGCTGTAGTTCCAAGAGCACTGTTTCCCTATGTGTGGCCAGTGCAGGCTTTGGAGAGCCATCCCTAAGTGGAGCCTGCCCCATGTACAGGGAGTAATTTCTGTGAACAAGGCTCATTCTTGATTAGATTTGTATTATTCAGAACTTGATTGCTATCAAGATAGCATACCTGTCTTTAAAAAGACACACACACACTACACACACATGCGTGCACACACACAAGCTAATACTCACTGAGGCAGTATTAAAGTTGGTAGGTGTGGGTTGCTGGCATGTGATGTTTCTGCTACTGGAGTAGAATTGTGTCTTTATTAGGAACACTTTGCACTCTGTTCCACATTAACACAATATAGTGTGTCAGAGGTGAGGCTTTGGGGATTCCACTCCACCAGACTGTAGTATATTTCTGACTCATTGCATCTCCACACACAGCTGTGTGTTGGAGCTTTGATCGCATCTTTACAACTGTGCTGTATGTAGTACAGAGTTGTCATATGCAGCCCTTGGTCTGGCAGAGTGGAAGGCTCATGCCTCCCTTTGACTCACTTGTTCCCTGAAGACCATGGACAGTGTTAACTTGTATCATTTCTTAGCAATCCCCCATGCACTTTGCATTATGAGGTTAACTTCTAACACGTGTTACGGCTAAAATTGTTCCTTTTTCCTTTAGCGACATTCAAATGCTTCACAGTCACTTTGTGAAATTGTTCGCCTGAGCAGAGACCAGATGTTACAAGTTCAGAACAGTACAGAACCAGACCCCCTGCTTGCCACTCTAGAAAAGTATGTTTAAAATCAGTTCTTCTTTCTTTCATTGATGCTGTTGGGTGTGTTGCATTGTGACTGACCGGTAAGTTCCATGTTGGTGTGGGCATTGTGTCCTGGAACACTGTGGGTGGCTAGAGGTCAAAGGCAGAGACCTGCTGCTCACAGGATTTGTGACTCACAGTGGGCACTGAAGGGGAAGAGGGTGAGCAAGTGACTTGTACATTGGACTTTGAACTTCTCAGATATTCACAAAATAGGATTTTACACAGCCATTCTAAGATTTGATAGTCACATCCCAAACTGGTTCCCACCTCCAAGGGGCGATGACCTATGAATTGGATCCATTTGAGCTGGCAGGTGTTTCAGATCTTCTGGGTTTGCTGTATCTTTGCAGCTGAACAGTTACCCTATGTTGAGGGGATGGGCTCTGGTGGGCTGCTACTTTTCTCCCAGAGTCGCACATTTCCAGGTTGAGTGTTCACTGTCAACATGACATATGTTGGGCCTCCATCTGAATAGCTATTTAATATAGAAACCCTCGACATTCCCTCACGTTGGGTAAGTTTTGGAAGGAGACCATGTGGGTGTCACTACACACAAACAGCAGTCTTGCTTCAGTAAGATTTTCTTTTTTATGATTTTTTTTTTCCTACTTGAGCCCTCCTATATATACCGAGGCTCTTTTGCTTATTTTGGCTTACTACCTGTAATTTCCTTTGTTGAACCACTGCTGTATGTGATTTCCTGCAAATTAAAGATGAGGTAGCTTGTTTGAAACTGTCTAGTGCAAAGTTATGATTACTATCATGTAGTTTGGCTACAAGAGATTACCAGCTGCTAAGTACCATTTTATCTCCCATTTCAGTAATTGGGGGTATAGCATAAACAAGATTGCCCACATGTGAATACCAGTTATGATATTAATTAGGTTGAACTTTGTAGAAAAACTATCATTTAATTGGATTAAAAATATAGAATATCAGCAATATCATGTGGTTTTTACTGTAATTGATAATAAAAAGCTATATTATTTATCTTCAAATCTTGAAATTCAGAATGTGTCAAATTAGATGATGTATACTCTGGGTGTTGGTTGGTGGCCATTGCAGAATCAGACCTACACAACAGTATAAAAACTCCTGAGTTCTTCATGCCACCAAAGCGCTCCATCCAGCGAGCCCCCAGGGGACATGTATATATATACTCGCTCCTAAATGTGTAGCCGTAAGTCCCCTTCTGAAATGAAGATAAGAATATGCTCATTGATGTCATTAAACATTAGAGTACATTTCTTCTAATAAATACATGGGTCATCAATACCTTGATGCCATGAAGTACAGAATTACTCTGTTGAATTTAGCAATGGGGAGGACTTCATCATAATAGTGAAACGGTCCTTTGAAGAATGAGGTTCAAGCCCTTATGTCTCTTGCCAGTGTCTGCTGATAAAGCGAATACAGTGACAGTTTTCAATGATTTTAGAAGACTTTATTAACCATAGTTACAACTTTACATATTTGATCAATATATAGTCATATGTAATGCCTATATAATTAGTCCACAGATTGGGCAATACTGTATACACAAGCACCACCTATGTAAAACTAAGTGTAAGTTAGTACCAAAGGAAGACTTTGCAGTGAACTGAGTTCATGGAGTAGTGGAGTCTAGTAGTGGTAAGTAGTTTTAGGATTTGATACTCTTATTTTCTTTTCTGGATACTAAGGAGCTCAGAACCTGTTGGGTTTAATTCCGTTTGAGCCCATTTTACAGAAGTGAGTCTTCCCCATAGCCACACAAAGAAAAGAAAAACCAGAATGAGCTATTGTACCAAAGACATGAACAAAGAATGTAGATGGAACCTGGGTACCGTTGACTCACAGCTGTAAATCCATTCAGGAGGCTGAGATCTGAGGATCTTCAAGGCCTGCCTGGTCAGAGAAGTTCTCAAGACTCCACATCTTTACAATCACAAAAAGCTGGGCTGGGGATATGGCTTAAATTGTAGCACACTAGCCATGCCAGTAGGTGGAGCTAGTGTGAAGTCCTGAGTTCAAACCTTGGTACTGGCATATACAAATGGCTTCAATTCATAAGTAGCTTGTATCACCAGTTTATTGATGCTCATCTAATATCTCCTGGGCTTTTTTTTTTATTGTTGTTTTAGTAGAAAAGTGAATATTTTATCCAACCTGATGGGCTCTACTTGATTGGAGACCATGTCTGTATTTGATAATAGGGTTGTATTTAAATAAGACTCAGAATATGACCCTGTTACTGTGCTGTTGAATGCTGGTCAGGTTTTGCTGTTTAGTATCTCATTTTTCTCCTTGAGGGGAGCAGGGAGCCTTTCAGACGTCCAATTTCACTTATCCATGAAATGACTCAAGGGAGTTCACTATTGCTTAAGGAGATTGTAGACTCATACAGGACCTCCTGGGGGTGGTAGATAAGTTACTGCTGGAAAAGTGTCCATTTCCCAGCTCTCAGTTTCACCCTACTGCTTATTCCATAGACGTTTTGGCTAGAGGTCTCACATGAAATTTAAGTGCTGGTTCTTTTAACTTGTCTTTTTAGTCTGTTTTAGATCTTTAGATACCATGCTAGTGCCTCCACACTAGTATATTACAGCTTCTATTTTGCCTTTGTGAACACTTCCCTCTGCGGTAGCGAAAGGGTCTAAGTCTTTATCAACCTCAGCTTTCACCATGGCCAAACCTTGGACTGCGAGCCCCAGTTGTTATGCTGAAAGGATGTAAGTTAGGAAGGTACATGTGTTATCTGAGCTGTCTTTTTTGTTTGTTTCCCTAGGCAAGAAATTATAGAGCAGCTTCTATCAAATATTTTCCACAAGGAGAAAAATGAATCTGCCATTGTCAGTGCAATCCAGATTTTACTGACTTTACTTGAGACTCGGAGACCAACGTAAGCTTTCATTTTATATTAAAAATCCATATGGTTTTCCTTTCAGAACTAACAGTTAAGTATGTAAATAGCCAAATTTCTGAACCTAGTGGTACTCAATTATTCTGCTATTTATGCTTCAAACCTCTTCCAGTTCTTTCTCTGGCCTAAAAACGTCAGGTGGTACTGTAAGGCTTATGTGAACAGTTCGAGAAAGCATTCATTTTTAAAAATTTTTTTTTTTTTTTTTTTTTTTTTGTCGGTCGTGGGGCTTGAACTCTGGGCTTGGGCGCTGTCCCTCAGCTCTTCAGCTCAAGGTGAGCGCTCTACCACTTGAGCTACAGCGCCACTTCCGGTTTTCTGGTGGTTTATTGGAGATAGGAGTCTAATGGTCTCTCCTGCCCGGGCTGGCTTTGAACAGAGATCCTCAGATCTCAGCCTCCTGAGTAGCTAGGATTACAGGCGTGAGCCACCAGCACCCGGCTAAAATTTTTTTTAAATTAGATTCAAATTTTAGCTTTATTTTCATAAAATATCTGAATCTCAAGAATAAAGGGTGAAAAAAAAAAAGAATAAAGGGTGAAGGTCATTTTGTTTTATTCTTTCGCCCTCTTCTTCCTTCTTCCTCTTCTTTTTTTTGGGGTGGCATTGTCCCTGAGATTCTGTATTCAACCATGTGAACCGCAGCTCCTTTTAAAACCCTGCCCAAGGGCTGGGAAGGTGGCTCAGTGGTAGAGCACTTGCCTTGCATGCATGAGGCCCTGGGCTCGATTCCTCAGCACCACATAAGCAAAAAGAAAAAAGCCGGAAGTGGTGCTGTGGCTCAAGTGGTAGAACACTCGCCTTGAGCTGAAGAGCTGAGGGACAGTGCCCAGGCCCAGAGTTCAGGCCCCACGACTGGGCCCCCAAAAAAAAAACAAACAAAAAAACCCTGCCCAAGCTGGCTTTAAACCATGATACTCAGCACATGATTTCAAGGTGTGCTTTTTAATTTGAACTTCATAACTCCAGTTTCATGCTTTCCTTCTGAGGGTAGTGTAAATAGGTGAATTGAGGTTTGTACTGGCCACATGTAAATGTGAGACTTTATTTGAAAAATAAAAGCAAAAGGAGTATGGAACATGGCTCAAGTGATAGGGAACCCACCCGGCAAGAACAAGGTCCTGAGTTCAAACCCCGATAACACACACAAAGAAGTAATAAAAGGCTTTGCTGTACCCTATACTTCGAATGTGTTTTCCAGTATGTATGAGTATTTTGCTCTTTGAGTACATATTTTGGATAAAGTTCCTTTGAGTCACCATGTGAATGAGGTTTCTGTCCATTGTGAATTCTTTGGTGCTGAATAAGGAACAAGATTTGCTAAAAAGGAGTTGCTACATTTTTGGCATTTGTAGGGCTTTTCTCCAGTACAAACTCTTTGTATTGAGCAAGAAAGGTTTAAGCAAATGTGACGGGGGGGGGGGTGTCACATTCTGTGCATCTACAAGGGTGTTTCTCCAGTATGAATTCTCTGGTGTTGAGAATGTAATATAATGTAATATAATAATAATCCAGTATAGACCATCTGACTTTAAGATGTAAAGAACAGTTGGTTTTATATATTCTTCATGTTTGTAAGATTTCTCACCAGTATGAATCTTCTGACATTGAGGACTCAACTTTGAGTAAATAGTCTGCCGCATTATTTACCTTTACAAAGTTTCTCTCCCATATGAATTCTCTGATGTTGGTGGAGATATGAAGAGCATTTAACAGCTTTGCTTTGCGTTTGTAGGGCTTCTCTCTGGTGTGAATTCGCCTGTTGGTGAAGATGGGAAGAACAGTGAAAGGCTTTGCCACATGCTTAGCAATTGTACGGCTTTTCTCCCGTGTGAATTCTCTGATATTGATTCTAGTCTCCTTTTATTCATTCTCTCTGCAGACAGAAATGTTGATGTAGCCATTGTATAACTACATAATGATTAAGTATGTGCCTACATAGTGGATATGGAACATGACAGATGATTATTCAAATATTGTAATGACTTAGATTACCCTACTTTGTTTCCAGATTTGAAGGCCATATAGAGATCTGCCCACCAGGCATGAGTCATTCAGCTTGTTCGGTTAACAAGAGTGTTCTAGAAGCCATTAGAGGAAGACTTGGATCTTTTCATGAACTCCTACTTGAGCCACCCAAGGTAAGGAGCTGTCTGAAGCCTGTTGGCTAGCAGGCGTTTGATTGGTATTGTATGTGTATTTAAACAGGGGAGCCTTGGAGTAACAGAACTGGCTGTGATCAATATGTGCCAGTGTGTTCAGAGGTTCACCCTTGTCTTTGATAGTTTTTAATTAGTTGCTTTTTGTTGCTGCTGTTGTTGCTGTTAGGTTTTTTGTTTTGTTTTTGGAACTCGTTTGGGGCTTTGAATTCAGGGGCTTTGACTCATAACAGGCAGCCTCCCACTTGAGCCATGCCTCCTTTTCTAATTCCTTTTTGCTTGATTGGAGATGAGTCTCTCAGTTTTTTGTGCCCAGGCTAGCTTTGAATCACAATTCTTTGATCTCATCTTTCTGAGTAGCTAGCATTAACAGGTGTGAGCCACCAGTGCTTAGGTTGAACTAGATTTTTATTGGCTTTTATCTGTACATATTGTCAAAATAAATGAATGAGGCTAAATTAGAGTTAATCAAAAAACTAGCTTAGGAAACTCAAACTTTTGTTTTTCTTAAAAATTTTCTTATAAGTTCTTTTGCACTTATATGCCAGGAAAATAAGCTGCTTTTTGTAGCTTGGTTTGGGGTGTGTATCTGTGGTACTAGAGTTTAAAGTCAGGACCTCCCACCTGTTAGGCAGGTGTTCTTCTTCTGGAGCCATCCCTCCATCCCTTTCTTTCTCTCTCTCTTTTAATTTTTTTCCAGTCCTGGTGCTTGAACATGGCCTGATCACTGTCCCTGAGCTTCTCTTGCTCAAAGATAGCACTCTACCACTTGAGCCACAGCGCCACTTCCAGCTTTTTCTGTTTATGTGGTGTACTGGGGAATCAAACCCAGGGCTTCATGTATGTTAGGCAAGAAGTCTACCACTAAGCCACGTCCCCAGCTGTTTCTCTCATGTTTTGGAGATAGGGTCTCACTTTTTGCTTAGGCCTATATATACTTGGGCAGTGGTCTTGTATACTTCTGCATTTCTACAATTATGGCACTGATCACTGTCTGCCACTGCAGGGCTGACAGGTAGCTGTTATACCACACCCACCTTCTTCTGTTGAGATGGAGTCTCCTGAACTCTTCTTTGCCCAAGCTGGCCTAGAACTGACATCTTGATCTCAGCCTCCTGTGAGACTGGTACATACTGCTGCAAACCCAGCTGTTGGTTGAGGAAAGTGTCTGGCTGTTGGTTGAGGCGGTATCTGGCTGTTGGTTGAGTGGTTGCTTGGCTGACTTGGGCCCTGTCCTTGATGATTATAGGTGTGAGCTATCATATCCAGCTTTTTCCTTCATTTTTTTGTTTTGTTTTGTCTTGTCTTTTTTTGGTACTGGGAAACTTTGGGCCTGCTTCCATTTGTTTTTGCTTTAAATACTTTCCAGATAGAGTCTTGTGTCTTTCCTTAGGATGGCCTGGACCACAATTCTTTATTTCTTCACCTAGCTAGGTTGACAGATGTGTACCACTACATCCCCTCCCTCCCCCTCTTTCTTTTTTAAGTCAGCTGTGGGGTTTGAACTCAGAGAATGTGCACTGTCCTTGAGCTCTTTTGCTCAAGGCTAGTACTCTACCACTTTGAGCCACAGCTCTACTTCTGGTTTTCTGATGGTTAAGAGTCTGATGGTTAAGATAAGAGTCTCAAATTTTCCCCCAGACTGGCTTTGAACTGTTCCTCAGATCTCAGCCTCCTAAGTAGCTAGGATTACAGGTGTGACCCACCAACACCCAGCTCCCATTTCTCTTTTTAGATCTTTATGGTAAAGTTAATCTCTCAGGGTCTGATCTTTGCAATTTGGCTTTCTCATTGAGAAGGAATAGATTGAAGTTTTAGTTACAACCTGGAAAGGACATGATTCTGGGTGATGCTTTTCAGTGGCGGGATCTGCCCAGTAGAACTGTGCACAGCGTTTAGCAGTGTGTGAACGGCGCCCCCATCCTCCACACTGTCTCATGATACAGGGATTCAGATGAGCAGAAGGCGGGCTTGGGTGGAAGAATCTGTCTGTGAGAATTGTCCTTCTCCCTATGCTCTGTAGGGATGGAAATGTAGTATGCTACTTCTCGTTTTTATATTAGACATTTTCTGTTTAACTATTTGGAGCATGCCCGTGTCCAGGTTATCAAAGCTTTCACCTTCTTCTTTTTTTTTTTTTTTTGTGCTAGTTCTGGGGCCTGAACTCAAGGCTTAGTCACTGTCCATGAGTTTCTTTTGCTTGAGGTTATTGCTCTACCACTTGAGCCACAGCTCTACTGGCTTTTTCTTTCTTTCTTTTTTTTTTTAAAGTGGTTAATTGGATGAGCCGGGCGCTGGTGGCTCACGCCTGTAATCCTAGCTACTCAGGAGGCTGAGATCTGAGGATCGCGGTTCAAAGCCAGCCCGGGCAGGAGAGACCGTGAAACTCCTATCTCCAATAAACCACCAGAAAACTGGAAGTGGCGCTGTAGCTCAAGTGGTAGAGCGCTCGCCTTGAGCTGAAGAGCTGAGGGACAGCGCCCAGGCCCAGAGTTCAAGCCCCACGACCGACAAAAAAAAAAAAAAAAAGTGGTTAATTGGAGATAAATGTCCCACAGACTTTCCTGTCTGGCCTGGCTTCAAACCATGTTCCTCAGACCTTATCCTCTTGAGTAGCTAGGATTACAGGTGTGAGCCACCAGTGCCTAGTTCCCACAGAGCTTAGTAGGAAGTAAAACTGAGTCTTACAGTTCCTTGTATCTCAAGAGAAGGGGAACCGGAAAGTGTGTGGGGCTGGTGTACATGGACCTTCAGGAAGAGCAACCCAACAAGTATGTTTTAATGTGTTTCTCTTTCCTGTCAGACTGCTGAAATTCTGCAATGTTCTGCTTCTGTCTTTTGTGATTTCAAATGATAGAAAGTTTCCTGGCCGGGTGCCTGTGGCTCACTCCTGTAATCCTAGCTACTCAGGAGGCTGAGATCTGAGGATCTCGGTTCAAAGCCAACCCGGGCAGGAAAGTCCATGAAACTCTTATCTCCAATAAACCACCAAAAAAACAAAAGTGGTACTGTGGCTCAAAGTGGTAGAGCACTTGCCTTGAGCTAAAGAGCTGAAGGACAACGCCTAGGCCCAGGGTTCAAGCCCCATGACCAACCAAAAAGAAAGAAAGAAAGAAAGAAAGAAAGATAGATAGATAGATAGATAGATAGATAGATAGATAGATAGATAGATAGATAGATAGATAGATAGATAGATAGATTGATTCTTGTCAGACAGGGATGGGTTTATGCTATGTTATGGGATGTGATGGAGAGGCACATGAATTTGGCAATGACAAAGGACAGCTTCCTAGAACCATTTGTACTTCCATTTCATTTCTTAGGCTTCTAGTCAGAATTTAAGCTGAAGGAGGGTTTCTGTTTATTTTTATTTACCTCTGCCCCCACCTGCTCATGGATTTGAGCAGCCTTTTGCTTTCCTAGGGCAGTTGGGAGTCTGCTTCAGTTGTGGGAATGCTCCACGGTTGTTTCATCATCTCTTCATGCCCGCCGTGGCAGCATTGTAGCTGGGTGGCTAGTTCTGTGTCTCAACACTCACACCTTTTACTCATTTGCTCATTTAACTGAATTCAACTGGAATGCCTTTTCTTACTCAGAAAAGTGTGATGAAGACAACATGGGGTGTACTAGATCCTCCTGTCGGGAACACCCGGTTGAATGTGATTCGGTTGATAGCCAGCCTGCTTCAAACCAACACCAGCAGTATAAACGGGGACCTGATGGAGCTGAACAGCATTGGAGTTATACTGGTGAGATTTTCCTCTTTGGATATTTAATTTGCCTCTGATATTTCATGAATGTGTAGCACAATCTTGCAAGTTTGCAGTAGGTGTTAATGACTTTCTTAGTCTGAGCACACTTTCTAGTCCTGTCATCCTAGACAAGCTTAGGAATGGTTCAGTGTACTGAGAGATGAGCCGATGCTTGTCCTGAGCAAGTCCCTCAGTGTTGCTATCCTGGCATGGGAATAGCCATGAGCTCAGTCTGACCTGACTGCCCACTACTGCTCTCTATGTGTGATAGAGTGGTGCAGGTGTTCGATGATCTCCAGCACTGATGCCTGTTGGTGGCAGACCCAAGTTCAAATTCTGACAATAGTGGGAAAAGTATTTCCCCTTACACCTCTGTAGCACCCAGCCACAAAGATTGGGCGTTAGGTAATGGATAGCAGGAAAGCAGAAAGGACTGGGACACAACCAGATGGGTCCAGATGCTGCCCACCACTGTCTATGGCCTCATCTGTTACATGTCACTTTGTTGTATGACCTTCCCTGAGCCTTCTGCACTCAGGGGTTTGTCAAAATGAGCGAGGCCTGAGTGAGGCTTAGCTTTAGCCTCCTTTAGATCCTATTTTTGTTCTTTCAAAGTCACTTGGTTTATGGTTTAAATATTGAAAGAAAAGTTTATCGGATGCCTATTTGTGAGGAAAAGGTAAATTTTCCTATATCTAGAAGTTATATAATGAAAATTAATAAATATTTACTCAACTTAGTATTTGCATTAGTTTGAAAACAAAGATTTTTTTTCCTTTCTCTAAGAAACTTAATTGTCTTTTTTAAATGATTCTTATTGGTTTCTATTAGAGTCTGCAAATTCTGGCATGTTGAATGAAGAGGTACCATATGTTCTTTCAAAGATTCAAATATGAAGTGGTGTTTCAAACTGTTTCATATTTTATTTATTTTTTGCCAGTCCTGAGGCTTGAACTCAGGGCCTAGGCACTGTCCCTGAGCTTCTCTTACTCAAGGCTAGTGCTTTACCACTTGAACCACAGCTCCACTTCTGGCCTTTTCTGTTTATGTGGTACTCAGGAATCAAACCAAGGGCTTCATGCATGCTAAGCAAGCACTCAACCACTAAGCCACATTCCCAGCCGCTATTTCATATTTTAAACTCTGTGTGTGTGTGCGCCTGTGCATGTGCACATACACACACATGCATGCCAGGGCTTGAACTCAGGGTCTGAGCTCTCTCAGCTTTTTTGTTCATCATTGGCATTCTCCCACTTGAGTCACACCTCTCCTTCCTAAATAAACACTTTACCTGCTTAAATAGTTGTGTTGAGCTGAGAACAAATGGTTTTTACTTTTAAGTCACCATTTTGGGAAAGCATGAAAATAATGACTTGAACATGGAAGTACTGAGCAGAGAAATGACTTCTTCTTTTATAGGACATGTTCTTCAAGTATACGTGGAATAATTTTTTGCATACACAAGTGGAAATATGTATTGCACTGATTCTTGCTAGTCCTTTTGAGAACACAGAAAATGCTACAATTAGTGACCAGGATTCCGCTGGTGACAACTTCTTGTTGAAACACGTGAGCTTATTGGTCTTGTTTTTTTCATTCCTGCTTACAGTGAAGATTAGACTTCAGGGTCCTAATATTTAACTAATATGTAGATTCATTGTGTTTTGAACCAATGGTTCTAGAAATCGAACCGCAGACAAAAAACTGAAATGTTACTACAAAAAAAAAAGTAGGGAAAATGCCTGGAAAGGCCTGCTTCTTTTGGTAAAATTGTTTGAAAATATGTATAACTTGTGGAGCCTAAAGAAACATCAGATATTTACCAGAGATGATTTTAACAGTTCTATGGCATGTTAGAATTTAATTTCTGATGCTGAGAGCGCGACTGAAAGTTTGAAGCAATGGTCTTTCCTCAGTGTGAAGTCTCTGTTTTTGAGATAGGGAATGTCTCTGTATAGCTGTCCCTGGCTGCCCTGCAGCCGTCATTCTGTGCATCCACTGGGATTAACAGTGGGTGCCAGCACACCTGAATTGGGGTCTCTTTTCAGTAAAAATCTGTTTTGGGGAAAAGAGGTAATTTCACCAAGTCAGTGGTTAGAAATTAAGCTTTTACCGAGTTTTTAAATCTTTATTCTGCTCTAATTTTGTTGCCTTAGGTGAGTTGCTCACTGGCACTAATTGAAGCAGTGAGTGCCCAGTAGATGGTCTGCAGGGCTCAAGTCCTGACTGCAGTCTCGTGGTGTCTGTACCTACATACTGCTCAGACATTTGCACAGGACTACCCTGTTGAACTAGAGCTCTGTTGCACTTGGAAGTCTGATGCTTTGACATTTCTGTAAATGTTAACTGATACATTTTTTCCTTACTCAGCTTTTTCAAAAATGTCAATTAATAGAACGAATACTTGAAGCCTGGGAAATGAATGAGAAGAAACAGTAAGTCATTTTTGACAAAAATTGAGTTTGATAAGTCTTGGTTCTTTGTCAACAGGCAGAGCAGTTTGTCTGAATGTGAAGAGGGATTGTAGTTGGAAGGATTTGGCTTTGAATGGGGAAAAGGAAGAACTAAGTTTCTCATTCAGAGTGGTCTTACGTCAAGTGCAAGTTCACTGCTGTTCTTTTCTTGGCCAGGTTAAGAATTTCCCACCAATGGTATTTCCTAAGATCAGCTGGGTCTTCATTTGAGAAATATCATTGGCAGATAATTATCTCTGACTAAAACCTGACATATTTTAGGAAGTCAGCAAGATTCTCACTTGTTTACTACAGTCTATATAAAAAGATACAAAAGGAGCTGGGCACTGGTGGCTCACACCTGTAATCCTAGCTACTCTGGAGGCTGAGCTCTGAGGATCATGGTTCAACGCCAGCCTGGGCAGGAAGTCTGTGAGACTCTTATCTCCTATTAACCACCAGAAAACTGGAAGTGGCACTGTGGCTTAAGTGGTAGAGTGCTCACCTTGAGCTGAAGAGCTCAGGGACAGCGCCCAGGTTCAGAGTTCAAGCCCTACAACCAACAACAACAAAAAAAAGATACAAAGGAAAAGTAGTAACATCAGGTATCAGTGAATGTTTAAAATACTGACAATTCATGATAAATTTTTGACATTAAAGTAAATGTGTCCTGTTAAATGAGGTTGCCAGATAATCTCTAAGCAAATCAGACTTTTTGCTCTACTGTTGAGTGATATTCTGGCATCATCTATTTTAGAACAGTTGCTTGAAAGTCGACACTATTTACCAACTATCCATCCCATTGGGAATCTGAACATTTGTCCTTTCTCCTTACCAGGGCTGAGGGAGGCAGACGGCATGGGTACATGGGTCATCTCACTAGGATAGCCAACTGTATCGTGCACAGCACTGACAAGGGCCCCAACAGCGCATTGGTACAGCAGCTTATCAAAGGTGAGTTGTTCAAACAATGTTAATAACTTGGGTGTTTTGATGAGGGGATGGATGTTAGAGTTCTGTAGAGGTACTGGCATTATGCTCAGTCACTGTTGGTAGAGGTTCTTTATATTTTTCCTAGGGTCTAGAGGTCTCAATGCTGGTTTTAAGAATGTTTGAACAGTCTTAGCCCTCTCTCTTCAGATTTCTGTATCCTTTTAGTAAACACTGGCCAGCTTCAGCATACTAGAATTACCTGTTGTTATTGTTAAAGAACATTGCTTGCCAGGTACCAGTGGCTCATGCCTGTAATCCTAGCTACTTAAGAGACTGAGATCTGAGGATTGTGGTTTGAAGCCAGCTTGCATAGGAAAGCCTGTAAGATCATTGCTTGCTACAATTATTTTGATCTTGCACTATTTGTATGCTGGCAGTAGAAGAGCCACTATAGAACCAAGTAAAATTGTTTCTGCTTGCTTGCTTGCTTTCTCGCTTGTTTTCTCTTTCTTTCTCTTTCTTTCTCTTTCTCTTTCTTTCTTTCTCTTCTCTTACTCTTCCTTCCTTCCTTCCTTCCTTCTTCCCTCCCTTCCCTTCATCCCTTCCCTCTCTCCTTCTCCCTCTCCCTCTCCCCCTTCCTCTCCCTCTACCCCTCCCCCCCCTTCTCGCTTTTTCTAGTGCAACTCAGGGCCAGGCATCCACTGCCATTTGAGCATGCCTTTTGGTTTTAGTTACTTTTCAGGTACATCTTGGTTTTTCCCCTCCTAGTCTGGCCTCCAATCATGATTCTTCTGCCTATGCCGTCTGTGTAGTTGGGATTAGAGGTGCCTACCACCATGCTCAGCTTGTTAGTTTAGATGATTGAGGGGGGAGTGGAGGGTCTTGCTAATTTTTTGCCCAGGTTACCCTCGAACCACAGTTCTTCCACTCTTAATCCTGGGTTACAGGCCTGCACAAAAGTACCCAATGATCCTCATTTTCTTATTGAGGAGAAATGGCTGTGTGATACGATTAAGATGGTCGGATCAGTCTTTGCTTCGTGGTTGTTACTTGTAAGTGAGTGGGATCAGTCTGGCTGTGTGAACATTCCCACGTGTAGGTATTTAAGCTCAAATGTCAGATAAAAATCTTACAGTAGTTAACTCTCCAAAATTACAGCCATAGTTTTATCTCAGGAAACTAGTTTTCTCTAGCAGGTACTATTTTACTATTTCATGTGTATCAGCAGGGCTCAGGAGCCCTGCAGTTTGGAGTCATTATCTTAGAGCAGTTTGGGAAACCAGAGTTTCATGGGACACTGACTGGCCAGGTGCCCATAGGAGTATCTTCCAAAACCTCAGGAGCTGAATTCACAGTATTTCCTAAATTTGACCTTGGTGCCAAGACATTCCCACATTTATTTTCTAATGATACATTGTTAGAGGCTTGGTAAATTATGGCTCCTGGCCCAGTCAGGCAGGGCATGGCTGGCCCTGGTCTGGGCCTGTCCAAGGTTTTCTGACACCCTCCTCTGGCAGCACTGGGCTGGTCATTGCCAGCTTCTTGGTTAATGGGGCTCCTTTGCCTACCATGGATGGATGAGGTAGGACACTCTGCATCTGTCCTCATGGGCCACTGTGGTAATAATGCTTTTCTCCTCTTCTCACTCTAAAGATCTTCCCGATGAAGTCAGGGAGCGATGGGAGACATTCTGCACGAGCTCCTTAGGAGAGACGAACAAGAGGAACACGGTAGATCTAGTAGGTTTTACAGGTTACATTTTATTTCTTCTTTCAGACTTCTTAGCCTTTGCCCATGTATTCAGAAACACGTGAAGGATTTTCCACTTGGCCAGTGGGTATAGGCCAAGGATATGCTAGCATCACTGCCTCAGAAGCGGTCACTGTTCATCCTGTGCTTCCCGGTTTATCCAGTCAGCTCCTGGTCACCTGCCTGGGAGTGGTACGAAAAGGCCACTAGTTTCCACTGTGCCTGTCCCACATCCATTTGCATTCCTGTCTGCTGCTTCCTCAGTACCTCAGCAGCCTCGGCCTCCTTCTGCAGCGTTTAGCACCAGCTTAGACCTCGGACAACCCCAGGACTTACTAGTTCTAGATATGCCTCTGGAGAATTTCTAATATCACTGAGTTGAGTTTACTCTCCTTTTATAATTCCCAGCATGAAAGGGGTTGTAGATGACTTTGAAATTTCAGCTATTAAATCCTAAAGAGCCAGGGAATAATGGCATTGATAATTTTTGAAGAATTATATTAGACTTTGGAATGTATTTTTTTAATGCATTAAGTTTTAAGGTAAGTATTGTTTTGTTTTTACTTTTTTAAATGAGAAAAGCATTTTATCTTAATAAGCATATAGCAATTACAGTCATGGTGGTGGCTATAATTTAGTAGGGTTGTCTGGTGTTTAATTATTAGACATTCACTAGGTCTGGTATTGGACTTCTCATAGTTGTTAACATCAGTTGTCTTATGGCCATCTCTGCTCAGAGCACCAGATGAAATGAACGAGAGAAGCAGGCTGCAAATTACACATCAGTCAGTAGACCATTTGGTGTCACCCTTAATAGCCTTCCTCGACCCCTGGGAGTTTCCTTTTACCAGAGGCAGTGGTGTGAGGGGTCAGAATTTGGACATAGACAAGACTATAAAAGGGGCTTTTTTGTTGCTGTTAAAATAGAGCCCTGTAGTTAAAATAAGTATAAAGATCCCATACAGTTCATACAGTCCAACAAAGAAGCTGACATTTGTGTCAACAGTGCCAAGTCATCAAGAAAGGCTGAGTTGTTGGGATGAGTAATTAGACATTATACACGGTTCTTTTCAACTTGGTTAAAATAATTTAAGCTAGATTACTTAGCCAGAATATCATCTAATCTGAGTTTTATAGCTTGAAACTGTCCTCTTCCCTCTCTTGAGATATGTCCATTCATCTTGGAGGCTCCTATATTAATTGCATGTTTAAAATGCTGGCAACTTGGTCTCCTTTAAGATTTTTTTTCTTTTCATGTATAAATGAATACTTACTTGGCAATATTCTGATTTTGTTTGGGAAATTAATAAATAACCTGTGATTTACTTTTAAAATTAAAAGGCAAAAATGTCCAATTACTCAGTTGGCTTAGCAGGTTTAGCATGGCTCATTTCAGGTATATTCATAGCTTAAGTTCATATGTTGGTATGTTGGCATGGCTTTTTTTTCCTGTCATAGCAAGAGTACATTGACTTATACACAGAATGCTTACTTGTCCTGGCTACTAGCTCAAGGACTGCCCACCTGAAGAGGCCAAGCTGTACCAGCTCTGTACTCACTTCTGCTGCAACATTTCAGTTATACTCCAATCTATGAAGCATTTTGACCCCATAATGCCAAAATATGTACATGGTAGATTCACACACAACTGTTTCTATATAGAATAAACTTGGTGCTTTAACTACATACAAAACTTACATGTTTTGACTAATCCTCCAAACCTGGGTAAGTTAGATCATGGGAGATATTTTGCAATAACTGGAGACCTGAGTGTGTTTCGTTCTCTGCTTTTTTCTCCACTGGAAAAAGTGCATGTTAAAAATCAATGGCCCATAGTTGGGAATTTGGCTTAGTGGTAGAGTGCTTGCCTATCATGCATGAAGCCCTGGGTACCTCAGTACCACTTACATAGAAAAGGCCAGAAGTGGCTCTGTGGCTCAGGTGGTAGAGTGCTATCCTTGAGCAAAAGCAGCTCAGGACAATGCCAGGGCCCTGAGTTCAAACCCCAGGACTGGCCAAAAACAAAAAACAGTGGTTCCCCATCACTGACAGTGCTAGAAGTGGTATGGAGTAGCAGAGAAGAACGGGGGTAGTAAATCATGGGCTGCATCAATAGCCCTAGATTGGACACAGGTGTGAGCACAGTGGTAACTGGAGCTGGCTCCTGCTTCTAGCTAGTGGGCCCAGAATTTAGTTACAATGCACCTTGGTCTCCCAAGGTAGTGCAGTCACCCGTTTCTGTTCTTTCTACCAATAGTTTGCAAAGCTGAAGTTTTATTATAGAAGAAGGTAATTCCTCAGAAGCTTCTTTTTCACAGTAACATCAACAGTGTATTTTGCTTAAAGCCAGACATGGCAGTACATACCTGTAATTCTAGTGCTTGAGAGGCTGAGGCAGAAAAAAATCACGTTTGAGGCGACTATAGACTACATAGAGACAAAAGAATGTCTCAAAAAAATTCTTTTTTTTTTTATGGGCGGGGAGGGCGTGATTCAGTTGTGGGCATTGAACTCAGGTTCTGAGCGCTGTTCTTGAGCTTTTTTGCTCAAGGCTAGCACTTTACTACTTTGAGCCATAGCTCTACTTGTGGTTTTCTGGTGGTTTAATTGTAGATAACAGTCGCTGGGATTTTCTTGCCCAAGTTGGCTTTGAACTACAGTCCTCAGATCTTAGCCTCCTGAGTAGCTAGAATTAAGGTACTCGGTGAAAAAGACTTTTTTTTTTTAAGTATGTTCTTAAAATATATCCATCCTGGCAAGAGCAGTTTACACTTATCAATTCTGAAGACATTAATTGCCAGACACAAGGATAGTGGTATCAATGAGGATTGGCAAAAACCCTGACTTGGTGAAGGTGGAGAGACAAATGAGTGGCACACTGCACAATTGCATGTTTCAGGTGACAAGGGCAGAGGAGGGAGACAGGAAGCATTTTGGGTAGATAGCCCTTGGTGGTTCATTGAGGCAGTAGTGTAGACACTGTACTGAGCCGGGTCTAATATGGCTAGGTCAGCTAGCCAGGAGAAAGGGAGGAAGATGTGAGCCCATGGCAGCACCGACAGCCTTGCAGTCAACAGTGAGGACCCTGGTTCTTCATCTTAATGAAATAAGAAAGCTCTGGAAAAAGTGACATAGTTTGATGTAGGTCTTGGAAGTGCACTACAGCTACTCACTTGGGAGCAGCTTAGAGGTGAACAGGTGTGAAGAGCAGCAGGAGCCTTCCCAAGCAGCCCTGCTGGCACTAAACACAGCAGAGAGCAGGGGCATCCTGCAACAGCTTGCTGCTCATAGACATGGTGCCAAGTGGTAGAAGAAAGGAAGGCTGGGCAGGTGTGGATGGGCAGAGAAACAGGATGGCAGAGGTTTTACTAGAGAGTAAAGATAGCACTTCCTCGCAGAGCTGTCTCAGCATAGATCTGGAATTTGTTTTGTACATCTGAATGACAGTGAATTTAGGATTCTGATGAGCATGTCCACCATGGCTTAAGTAATGTTTTTAGCTCATTTTATTAAGCTTTCAGATAGGAATGGAATAGAATCAGAATCACACCCATGGACACAACTGAGAAGATGTATTATTGTGTTGCTGTATTATTAATAGTAACTAGTGCCAGGTACTGGTGACTCATGCCTGTAATCCTAACTACTCAGGAGGCTAATATCTTAGGATTGTGGTTCAAAGCCAGCCAGGGCAGGAAGAGCCATAAGACCCTAATCTTCAGTTAACTACTGAACAGCCAGAAGTGACACTGTAGCTCAAAGTGGTAGAACACTAGCTTTGAGCATAAATGCTTAGGGATAGTGTCCAGGACAGGCTGTCTACACATACACACAAATATATACATACACACACAACGTAATAATAGTAAAATGAGTATAATCTTTGAGACAGCATTGCTAGTGCCTCCTGGAATTACTTTGCTTGTGAAAGAAACCTCCAGAAGCCTGGCATGAAGTTGTTCAACAGTTTCCTCTCAGTCTCAATGAGCTGATAACTCTTAATTCCTAGGAAAAAGTAATGTTATGAGGAACTTTTTTGTACTCACAACACTCCTAGGAGCAGCCAAGTCTCTCTTTAGATGTCTCTCGTTCAGTTCAGTTCAGCTGGCTTGCGCTCTGAAGAACCCTGTTTACCTGTTCTAACAACACATGTGCTCACTTGGTGCCTTCTCCCCCACTTGCTGTCCAAACCCACTTGAATGAAGTTACCCATAAGATGCTGGTGCCACAGGCAAGCAGTGTTCCCCACCACAGGCTGGGCATCATCCTGGTGCCCTATTCCGTAGCTTTGATTCGAACTGGTGCCCCTCATAGCTTACAAACTCCCAGGTTAAGTGATATGAGCGTTATACCTTAGGTACAATGATGATGATTGTTCCTTAGGAAGGGAAAGGGGGAAGTAGCTTGAGATATTCCATTATTAAAGCTTTAATTTCACTTGGGCCTAGTGACAGATGGTGGGGCCAAGGAAAAAGATTCTTAGGCAGTGATCTAAGACTTTGAAAAGCTGTTTCACATACAAACATATTTTTGTGTATGTGTATGTACGTGTATGGAGGTCCTGGGGCTTAAACTCAGGGGCCTGGGCACTGTTCCTAAGCCTTTTTTTTTTTTTTTTGTTGGTTGTGGGGCTTGAACTCTGGCCTGAATGCTGTCCCTCAGCTCTTCAGCTCAAGGAGAGCACTCTACCACTTGAGCTACAGCACCAGTTCCAGTTTTCTGGTGGTATATTGGAGATAGAGTCTCACGGACGTTTTGCCTGGGCTAGCTTTGAACCTCGATCCTCAGATCTCAGTCTCCTGAGTAGCTAGGATGACAGGCGTGAGCCACCAGTGCCGGCTTCCTAAGCTTTTATACTACTTACTACTTGAGCCACATCTCCACTTCCAGCTTTTTGGTGGTGTGATCAGATATGAGAGTCATAGGGACTTTCTTCTCAGCTAGCTTTGAACTGTGGTCTTTAGATGTCAGCTTCCTGAGTAGCTAGGATTGTAGGCACAAGCCACCAGCACATATTTTAATTGTACCCTGAACTTCTCAAAGCAGTATTGGAACAACTTCCAAATCAGAGCAGGCTAGCATTGGGCACAGCCTCAAGTTGGCAGGTGGCAGCTGCTTATGACTTACTCCAAAGATAGTGTCCTCTGCCCAAAACACTTGGATGAGAAGCACAGAATAAACAAATCAGAGAGCGTAGAGTAAGTGACTCTCAGAAGTATGGTTATTGAGTTTTACAAGTGAGGCAAGTTATGTAATACATAACTCTGTAGTAGCTACTAGTGCTATATTTAATAATCAGTTGTACATCTTGATTTTCCTCTAATATTGCATGACATTTATGAATCAATAAAGCTAAACCATGAATTGGTGAGCAGTTCATATTTGTGTTTTTCTTAATTATAGAGAATTGATCGTCAGTTCTGAGGAAGTAGGCCCTTTTCACAAGCAGAGGACTCTGAGCTCAAATCTTATTGAGTGCTGTTGGCAAGTGTTTTTAGTTGTTTTGATTTTTTAAGTGTGGAAAGGAAAGGCAAAAAATGGCATGAAATAGTTCTGTTTAAACCTGACCACTACTGGCACAGTAGTAGCTGGGATTGTGTTTCTCCCTAGAGGCCTGGCACATGGCCTTTTTTTTTTTTTTTTCATCTAAGCAGTTCCTTTTGTGCCCCCCTCCCTCCTTGTCAGCATTTAATTGGTGATCGTTGACAAAAATATTAACCTGATGACTTCCATGGAGGAATTCCTTTATGATTTCTGAAGTTGCTAGGGCAGGGCAGGCCAGGGCAGGGCAGGCAGCAGATGTGGTGAGGTGTGTGCTCAGTGACTAACGGTGGCTTCTGGGTTTTCTGTTACACGTTGACAAAAAAGTTGAATGTGATTTTTTTTTCCAGAAAATGCTGATATAAATGTCCACAACTTTACTATGTTAAATAGTTTTTTACATTTTTATGCATATAGGTTACAACCTGCCATATTCATTCATCCAGTGATGATGAAATTGACTTTAAAGAAACGGGTTTCTCGCAGGACTCCTCTTTGCAGCAAGTGAGTCATGCCTAAGCTTTGCTTTCTTTCTATTGTCAATGCGTAGTTCAGTTATCACTTGTAAATCCACCTTGCAGTCAGATGTTGTGTTAACACAATTTGCAGTTATGTACTAGTTTAGTACACTGGAGGGATTGGGCCCCTGGGAGCTAGGTTTACACTGCTTTCCCCCTAAGGAGTGTTTACGTGGGTTAACAGCGATAACTCAGGTATATCTAGAAGCTAGGTAAGCTGCGTGGGTTTGTGAAATAGAGGCCTGGTGGAAATAGAGAAATAAGACTTCAAAAAAAAATATTTTGGGCTAGGAATGTAGCTTAGTAGTAGAGTGCTTGCCTAGCGTGCATGAAGCCCTGGGTTCAATTCCTTCGTACCACATAAACAAAAAAGGCCAGAGTGGCTCTGTGGCCCAAGTGGTAGAGTGCTAGCTTGAGCACAGAGAGGCTCAGGGACAGTGCCCAGGCCCTGAGTTCAAGCCCCGGGACTGGCAGAAAAAAAAAAAATTATATCTTAACCAAGAAGCTTATTAAAATGATCCTTCTATTAATGCTGTGTTTCTAATAACTTTCAGTTCTGTTATGGAGATGTCTAAATTGAGTTGTAATTGGACTCCAGCCCTCTTGCCCCCAACTCACTTTGTAGCAGCTTTTAATCTTTGAGGCAAAAACAAACAAACGAGATCTAAATAATAAGTGTGTAAGCCACCACTGGTAGTTCTAGGAAAAGTAACAAAATACATGTCTACTGAGTAGCAAGTTTGGGGGTTAAGAGCAGGCACTGTTTTAGCAGGCCGTCCACCATTAGCCATTCTGGTCGTGCCATGGCAACTTGGGTGTGACACAGGAACGGGTGAGATGCCTTCTCTGCCACCATGGGTGCTGCTTGGCTTTTCTCTCCAACTTCAAGCCTCATCCTCCACTGAGGACCCGGTGCTCATAACGGCCCTATCTTCTGTCTTCCAGATTGCGTGGCTGTTAGATTCCAGACATGGGGAATGTGGAAGCTAGACAGTTTGATAAGTTTAGTATCCACCTTTCCCAGAGAAGTCTAAAGAGTTAAATTGCATCTGACTGGCCTCCTGGGATTGGAGACCGTGCCCTTTGGCAGCAGTCTCCTAAGGTTAGAGTTAGTAGCTGCCCCTCAAGGGGTACTGCTGAGGAATAGTGCCTTCTTGGAGAGTAGACCTTTTGCTCTTCAGGCAGCACTAACGACCCACATGACCCAACATGGCTAATTGTGAACAATCACTCTGCAAACGCTTTCCCAGAAACCTTGCTATCCTTGCCCTAAGAAGCACTTAAGCAAACCTCCCCACTGAAGGCCAGCAGTGTTGAAATAAATAGTACATCAGGCCTGAACCTGCCTAGTATGAAACTTGATAATATCAAATGCAGGAAGTGGTGCTGTGGCTCAAGTGTTAGAGTGTTCGCCTTGAGCTGAATTGCTGAGGGACAGCACCCAGACCCAGAGTTCAAGACCCATGACCGACAAAAAAAGAAGTTACAAATGCAAATTATCACTGTGATTTCTGTGCCCACTGAAGTCTAATAAGGAGTAAAAGTCCTGAACAGTTGTTTGAAATATGCAAGTAAACTCAGAAAGTCCAGCCCTTTTTTTTCCAGTTAAGTAGATTGCAGCAGGGACTTTGCTCATGTTAGGCAAATGCTATGCCACTGGGCTACATCTCCAGCCCCAAACTCCATCTACTGATTTCATGTAAAATTGTTTAATTTTAGACATTTAGAAGGTAGAGTCCCTTATTTCCCACACAGTACCTTATGTATATATATAAAATAATCCCAGTCACAAAATTGATTTACTAACAACCTTCTAATTCCTGGATACAGGAAGAATCATTATCGTACTGCCAGTAAGCTTTCCTTTGTATATTTAAACCATAAATCAAATAATTTAGGAGGAAGAAAACAAGATCCTAAGCATTTTCTTGAGGATACAAATCTAGTGAAAGAGTTTCATTATAGGTTCCATTGTAATCAGAATATTCACCTACAGATGTTTGAAGCTGGGCCTCACTCAGGCCCTGCTTATTTTGACAAAGCCTCTGAGTGTGGAGAGCTCAGGGCAGGTCAGATAACAAGCTAACCATGTCACAGATGAGGCCAGACTCATTGGTGCCCATTTCTCCAGATGTATAGAGGGGATGAGTCAGGAGAGTTCAAGTACAGACCACCAGCCCACCCATCTGCACGGATGCCTGCACTAACTCAAGCTGACAGGCAGTCTGATCAGGTTGAGCTCACAGCTGACCCTGTGCCAGGGCAGTGATTCTGCTAGTGATTTGCTCAGTAAAGACATTGTCCCATTTCTCTGTGCCTTGAACTCTTCCTGATGTTGGTTGAAGTGACAGGACTGGAAAGTGTGCTTTCTTAATAATTACCACCATCATGTACTGCTTTCCAGATTTGGATTTTCCAAGTTCAAAGCACTTTCAATAAACTCTTAAGTGCCGAGCACAGGAATAGTCTTCACTTGTGCTTGTTGGTAAATCAGTTTTACTGACAGAACAAAAGGTGCTTTGCTAATACATATCTTTCCTAGAAACTATAATAGACCTAGGACTATAGTTGAATCATTTTTCTTTGCATTATTGCATGAAGTTAATATTGTCTGTCAGTTATATATTTTTGTGTAGATCACTATTAAGGTGCATGCCAACTTGTACACATGTGGGTGTAGGTATGTATATATGTACATGGATGGATGTGGTATATTTACTGTTTGTATTACTTAAAGCCTTAAACATTTTGGGGAACATTCCTTCCACTAACAGCAGGAAAAAAAAATTAAAGAATCAAACTAAAGTGTCAAGGACCCTCCCCCCATCCCAAGTGGTCACCTTTCTAATTCAGAGCCTCCTGTGCTTACCTGCTCAGCGGGACTGCAGGGCTGTTTCTCGCACATACAGACTTGCTTGTTCTAAGCGTCCCTTTTACTTCCTGAGAGATAAAGCTGCAATTCAGAAGAATTGGTTTTTCCCCCCTTTTTTGGCTTAAAGAATGGTAAAGGCGGGGCTGGGAAGGTGGCTCAGTGGTAGAGCACTTGTCTTGCATGCTCGAGGCCCTGGGTTCGATTCCACATAAGAAAAAAAACCAGAAGTGGCACTGCGGCTCATGTGGTAGAGCGCTAGCCTTGAGCTGAAGAGCTGAGGGACAGCGCCCAGGCCCAGAGTTCAGGCCCCACGACCGGACCCCCCCCCAAAAAAAAAGAATGGTAAAGGCTGTTTTTGTGTATTCCAAACCCAGCATTCTTCCCTACCCTTCTCTTTTGACCCAAATTCCCACCACTTCACTTTGATTAGACTCTAGGCCTCACACAGTGTGGTCCCTTCTGCCAGTATATTATGGATGGCAGACTCAGAAGGTGGCAGCGAGCAGAGGGTGGCAGGTGTGCCATTGTCTAAGAGGAAAGTGAGGTTCAGGTTCTCTGCATCAAGCCATACTAGATGAAGCTTTTTTTCAGACCTAAGCAATAGATACCTTCCAAAGCCAAATATAAGGTTTTATTTTTTTAATTACCTACAATTTGGATTATCCATGCCATATTCCCTTCCATCAGAATGGGTTGTCAGGACTAAGTTGTAGGGGTATCCTTGCAGCCAGTATCTACAGGGTGGGGTCTGTGGGCTCAAGACTCAGAACTGTCTTCCCAGCAAGTAAGGCATGGCTGCTGCTGCCCTTATGGGGGGTCATCTGTAGAAAACAGTAGCTCTGTCTATGGGGAGTGCCCACAAGGTCATGTGGTCCCATGTAATTTGCCAGGTGAAAAAAAAGTAGAGGTGACATTTGTCTTCTTTGCTCTTTCCGATCAGTATGCCAGCTGCATACTCACCAGTTTACTTCTGGTTTAAAATTACACTATCAGCATTTTTGTAGTGCACACTATACATTTCTTTTTCCTCTAAGACGACCTGCCTGAGCCTGGTGCTCACAAGAGTAATAGAAGGGAGCAGAATGGCTCCTCTGTGGGCCTCCTAGTGTTCTAGGCTTGTTCTATCCTCTCCTTCAGGTAGGTAGAATTGGAAGTGTTCCTTGTGTCAAACATTTCCAGCCTCAAAGACTTAAGTTTTTTTATCTGTAGGATCAGGATTGTGGTTCTCATCATTCTCTGGAGCTGTCCTGCTGATAGATGGATTGGGGGTGGGGGGGGGACACAGGAGGGAGTGGAGTGGTTGGTGGTCTGGGCTTGTTGGCTGTGTCTCAAGGTAACTGATATACCTAATAATTTCAGACTGTTGCATGTTTGTTTTTTATCACTTCTTAAATTAAGCTTAACCCAAACATCTCTCTAAAGATTATTTTAAATAGTAGAAGACAGTGTGGTCACTTACCATTTCTTTAACATGTGCGTTAGAAAAATTTGTGGGCCAAATTTCAAGTATTTCCTCTTTCTTTGACAAAAATGTGTCTGAAATTATTTGATTTTTAAAAGAGAAAAGAAAAACACAGCAACTTTCAAGCTGGATGCTATGTGAATTAAGATGATTTCTGAGGCACAAATGGGCAAATGGTATGTAGAATGTCATTAGAATCATGATATCACTGTCACTGGTCCTGGGGTTGCCAGGCCTTTTCTGATTATCAGATGCAACAAATGACGTCCAATTTTATTGACCAGTTTGGCTTCAACGATGAGAAGTTTGCAGATCAAGATGACATTGGAAAGTAAGTATGTTCTCAACAATCGTTGAAATGTTTCTACAATGTCTCCTGTACTCCCACTCTTTGTGATTCTACTAGTCTTGGAGCTCTTTACCATTCCTGAGTTAGGAGGAACCTACTCTGCCAGTACTTAAAGCATCACACCCAGGAAAGAAGCGCAATAGGCCTGACATTTTGCTTTCCAGTTTTGTTCTTGTTTGTTTTTCTGCTGGGGGTTGAACTCAGAGACTTCCGCTCTTCCCCTTTGGCTTTTTCTGTTCTAGGCTGGCCCTTCACCACTGGAGCCACACCTATAGTTTCAGCTTTTTGCTGGTAACTGGAGATTAGAACCTTTGACTTAACTGCCCTGTTGGGCTCTGAATGGTGGTTTTCAGAGTGTGCCTTCCTGAGTAGGAGTACAGTAGAGTGAGTGAGCCACCAGTGCCTGGCTTGCAGTGACTGCTAATGAAGTAGGGACTCACATTGTGCCTGGGACATCCTGGACTACTTGTCTTGCCAGGCATGCACCACACCATTGTGCTTCCCCATAGGCAGGTGTGTGCCACCATGCCCGTTCATCATATGAGGCCCAGGCTGGCCTCAAACCATAATCCTTCATCATTAACTCCCCTGTAGGTAGGATTATAGGATTGAGCTAATGCACCTGGCTTAGTTTTTTAACCTATACTATTCCTTCTTTATTCTTCCCTCCTTCCCCTATTGCTTCCCAGGTCTTAATGTTGTCAAACTTAGTTCAAGTAATCTTCTCAGAACAACTGAAACTATAGACATGTGCCACCATACCTGACATAGATTATTCTTTCCTGAGTAGTGTTAAGTAGCATTACTCAAATGAATCTCTGTGTTGTGGGCTGCCTGGGCTGAAAGCATGGTAGTTGCAGGAATGCACGATGATACTGCGTTTCATCAGATGACCAAGTTGGTAGAACATCTCTGCCTGCGTGTATTCTTAGTTCTAAAGAACTCATAGAGGGGGAGACGTGGGTTTTGTCAAGAGCCTAACAGTTGAGTGAAATGTGGAATTATGGGTTCTGTACAGAGTTAGTGAATAGAACAGGTATAGGTGCTTTGCAGAAATGGAAACCAGTAGTCTAGCATTAGCCCTAGAGGAAATTGGAGCAGTTAGAGTTGGAATCTCGGGTGGACACTCCCCCCCCCCCATGCTGAGAACACACAGCGTGCTATGCAGCCTTAGCAGTAGCAGTTTCTAGTAACGCCTTGAACTACAGCGAGTACAGGCTACTGTTTTTAACTAATTTCAGTTTACCTGTATGAGAAGCTAAAATAGGTTTATGGCACATCCTGCCATAAACTGACACAGTGAGCAGCAGCACTGTCAGCTTCCTTAAGAATTAACTCTTCTTGGGGCTGGGAAGGTGGCTCAGTGGTAGAGCGCTTGCCTTGCATGCCTAAGGCCCTGGGTTCGATTCCTCAGCACCACATAAGCAAAAAGAAAAAAGCTGGAAGTGGCTCTGTGGTTCAAGTG